GTTCTCCACAGTTCTACGCCTTTTATCCTGTTTACATTGGGACGCTTGGCGATTTCAAGCGCCTCGGCCATCAGTCTCTGTGACTTGGATCGTAGTTCTTGCCTCAAAACCTCAGCATTTTCTGAATCTATTTTGTGTCCCGTGTCCAGTGCATGTTCCGCCATAGCTGAGTCTTTCAGTAGCGCTCGATATTCATCTGCGTTCCTTGGTGGCCTGTTCAACGACTCTGGTATGAAGTTCCCTGGCCGTCTTTCTTATTTATACCTTAGTGCAGTCGTTACCTTGATTTTTTAGACACATTTGCTGGTTCTGTTCGCCGGAATGTGATCCTTCAATTGTACCAGTGCAGAGATGAGAGTGTTTCCCTTCTGGAAAGCTAATCCTATGTTAGCCCTGTTTAGAATCTTTCGAATGATATCCGATGCTCTTGGTTTATGTGGAATAACGGCAATCCCAATCCATTCCCTGTTGGGTTCGTCACCGGTACCAACACCCTTTGCGATTGACGCCTAATAAAACTGGCCGGATATCCACTACCCTGAAGTTTGTTCTTTACTCCAATTTCGGGCCACTATCCGATCAACTCCTGTGCACGGGGCTCTTACACGCCTAAATACTGATGAGGTAGTACTAGCGAATGTCAACTTCGGACGGGCAGACGAGTAGTTAAAAACTGCCCCATTGTCAGTTAGCTTCTCGTACAGTGTGGTCTCAATTCCTTATGTTCTTATGTTCTATGTTTTATGTAGTGTAAGAAGGTCAGTGTACCCGAAGTTACTTCTATCTCCGTACGAAATTTGATGTGTGAATTCAGGTCACGCAGATAGTTGTAAAACTCATTGACCTTGTCTCGTTCCATCACGACACAAGTGTCGCCTACACAACACCAGCATATCTTGGGTGGGCACAGGAGTCTGGCCAAAGCTTTCTGTTCAAAACCTTATAAAAATATTAGCCAAAACCGGGATATTGGAGATCCCATTGCTGGACTTTGTTCTTAAGTGTAAACCACGGAGTCAAAAACGAAGTGAGTGAGGTTTAGGTGTGCTTTTATCCCTTCAACTATTTCATCTACCCTAAGCAGTCTCAGTTCTAAAAGGGTGATGTCTGCTGGTAGCAGTCGTTCGGCTCTTTCTAAAAAGCCCCCTTTCGGTACATGGTCGATTTCAAAATTGGTTTATTCAACAATCGATTTTCTTCCATCTGCAGATAGCACGGAGGAGAAATTATTTTTGTGTGGATGGAAACGCCTCGGCCCATTTTTTTCCCGATGACATTTGATTGTCAGATTGTCTTAAACACATACTGACAAAATTCCGTCACACGAAGACGAAGCGGAGTCTTCGATAACGTAGGGACCGAAGAACGGAATCATGGATATATAATAGAAACTGAAGATAAAGCTTCTACGCAAGTTAATGAATACCTTGCATAAATATTCCTACCAAGTGATGAACAATGAATAACTTCACGTGTCTGAAAGGCGCTGCTTTCTTTACTTGGTTCATATTGGTATTCATCGCTTTTCGCATCGTTTTAACAAGCAACGCTGTGTTCTAGGAGTTACTTGCACAGATTAAACGAAAATCTGCCTCGCTTAATAGTTGCCGAAATTCTGAAAGTTTTTACCCTTGAAATAGGAGTAGAAAAATGAGAGGAACAAGCAATTCGATGGCGCTTTGCATACTAAAACTTCATTACGGAATGGAACCACAACAAACAAAGCATACTCTTTTATTAGGAAATGCACTCGTTTGCAAGCCATTTTAGTTTTGCGCGAGACTCACCTGGAACCCAGCTGAATTTCTCGTTTATGATGTCTTTAAGCAACTGCTGCACCAGGCCGCCTCAGGTTTCAGTTGGTACGATATTCGAGATATCGCGACACATGTATAGACGTAATACACTACCCATAAGGTTGCTGGAAATTCTTCGACAGCTGGCGGGTGTAGTTGATGTTTTCGCAACAGTATAAAAACACGGTCTGTCCATAAACAATATGTGGCAGGTTACAAGCGAGACCAAAATGGAGTCTGAAAGCTTCATCGAAAACGTCCAAAACAGGGTTTCCCGTCAACATTGAGCTGTCCTTTGATCTCTGCAGAGTGAGACCACTTTCTGGAAGAGACCGAACATTCTACCTTTACCTAGTGTTGTTTCCTACAGAATTGCTATATTCGGACTTCATTGTTCACGAAACGAAGTTCCGTTTTTGGCTTAGCTTGGTCACGTTAATTTACTTTTCTTTTGACCAGAGATATACACGACCAACTGACAATCTAGGTTCCCCATCCTCGATTTTCCAAGCGTTTCGGCGGACTATCACTGCTCTTTTGATAAGTAAATTCTGGTTTTCAAAGTCAACTCTTTTGGGAGGGTTCATCTAGTTGTTTGCAGCGTGAACCTGCTGTGATAAAAACTGGTCAGATTTGCGACCAATCTTTCACTCGGTTCTCACGTCGATCGACGGATTTTTGGAACAGCAGATTTTGTAGCCCACTTTAGAGTTTTCATTTAGATCCTTGCTTAGATTTTTGGTAGTTCTCAGAATTATTCCGTATGTTTCTAGTGTGACAACTGGCAGCTCAAGATATTGACCAATTTTCTCATCTATCCATCAAAATTTACACAATTCGACGTTGATCTTGCTCAGCACGTCACGCTTTCCTCCATCTAATTATAATGTCTGACATTGTCTTTGTGGCTTATTATGTCTATTGTCTCTTCCGCATCTTCTCGAGTTGTGCATGTGTAGCATGCATTTTCAGCTTTAATGCACTTAGTTCCTGCCCCCTCCAGAGCAATGATGGCGCACACCGTTGTGCGAATAGCCTACCAGGTAGCCGTAGCTTTGGCAAACAGTTGATCAGTCAAGGCGACAGTACTATGTATAATAAAGGTTTCGATAGGCAGAATGTTCACAACAGTTCATTCTAAGACAGAACAATTTCGAACCACTCTAAGAAAGAACTAGTTTCACCTCAGGCTTGTTCGGACTGGCCAGTTCACGGCTATGGATGTGTCTTCTACACAACTGCTAACAGTTAAGCAAGACAGAAGCAAACAACCTTGTTCTGGGGTCTAGCATAGCACGTTGTTGGACCAGCTAACCATTTATGGATGGGTACCAGGATGTTTAAACTAGGTCTAAAATTCATCTTCACTCAGCATCTAGAGGCATTTTATGAGGCGATTTGAAATATTGCCTTTTAAGTTAAAATCGTTCCATATTGTCAAACAGATGAGTCTATATCCCGAGATTTTGGTTTTGACAGGGTAGCATTTCTTAGTTAATCTAGTGCGTTAATAGAGAATCACTTTTTGTGTTACAGGCTGCAAGTTTTATCCAGATAGCATTCGGAGGGTCATGCATAACTCCTAAGCTAACTGAGTTGAGTCTGTAGCAGCAAGTTCTCAATAGGTTTAAATGCGTATATATATATTTATACATATATATATATATATACCTTAGCCACATAAAATTTAAGGTGGATTAATATGAGCGGAGCCTCCCATTGACTCGGTGGACGTCAATCAGGAGAAAATCAGCCCGGAGTTTTGTCACATCCTCGAATTTCTTAATCAACCGCAAAATTTGGGGCGCATTTTCACATGGGCTTTATTTTACAACACTTCGAGCAATGGGGTGTGAATCTCATTTCTCACTTTTTTGATGAAGTGCTCTTCAATAGATGTGACGTTTCTCATTAGGGTGTCAAAACTTGACTCTCCAAAACTCTGTTCTAGGAGTAAACTCCTTCCTCAGGATCACTCGTTTAAAAGGCCAATGAAACTGAGTTTGCCTAACAACTGAACACCGGAAGAAGAGCATTCCTTTGACACTTGATTCAATCTTTTCTTGCGGAATTGAAAGTATGAAATGGCCTTTCCTGAAAGCCAATTCCGAGTTTTATGGTAGGAAGCCGAGTATTTTTTAGTTCACTTTAGAGAAACGTTCACAAAACGGGCTGGTAAGCTAAACAGTCAAAGACGCCATCCTGCGGCAAAAAACAGGAAATTGTATGCAAACTTCCACAAAAATCTATGAAAGCCAGGCCAGATGGATCAATAGACAGGCATTAGTATAAAGGCTAGGTAAATTTACAGACAACCCCACGAAAAATTACCAAGTCTCCATCCACTTATATGTAGCTTGTCACAATGTTGTCACTGGATCGAGATACGAGCTGTTGCATCGTGAAGATTAGGCTGACTGAAACATCATATAACTTTCACCGTATAATGCACGCGATTAGATTAGCTAAATTGCTCGTTTTGCACTACAATTTTAGCATAAACCCATGCACAATTAGTGGGCAGCTTCGTGAGACAAAAATGTAAAGCTTTGTATTGCATATATTTCACAATGACATTTTTGCATACCTATTATTTTTAGTAATAGAATAGGCCCAGAAGGGATATCTTATGGGTTCACACAGTTTGTCTACTGGCCCTTTGAAAATGTACAGCTGTTGCTATATTTGTCTAGCCACTCGATTAATCGAACACTGTGTTATGATGCAGCCCTCACCTATCAGTGTTTATTCCGCTTTTTTCGGATAAATTGCTCTGTGGTATTGCAGCCGGTTGAATGCTGTTTCCCCATAAATTATTACGACCAGACAGGTGTATTGCCCCTTCATACCAACATTATCAGGGTTAAATCGCTGACGCAGTTCACCACTGCAAGCAGATCAGAGTTTGTGATATATTGGTGACACCTCCCACTTGGGCGTGATGTGCGCAATCAACTGCAGTTCCCAGGTTTCGCTCAATTCAACCCTCAACCGAGGAAACACTTCAGTTACCGGGCAAAACCCATAAAACCTGGTCCTTATGATCTCAGCAACACAGCGTTGTCATGACAACAACTGGGCATGCCTAGGGTCATTGAACTGAAGGACCTTTCGGAGCAAAAGTGGTAGCAACCACTTGGTGCAACGTATTCTGACTACCTCTCTGTTGAACATCACCCTGCGTTCACAACAATAAAAAAATAATCATTTGTCAACTGTAACGTCCTTTTGTTGCATAACTGCGAGGTCACCCGAAGGAAGCACGAGGGCTGAGATACTGCTAGGTCGCCCAAACCAAGACAGGAGCAGTCGAGACTTCTCAGTTAGGTTCTAACCACGAATTTATCTGCCAGCAGGTTTTCGCCTTAACCACCAAGCCATTTTGAGTTCATGTTTGCAATCAGAAAAGAAACTATAATGTGCATTTCCGGAAAAATGGACTGTTAAAGAAAACACCGTATCATTTTTGTTACCCGACTGTTGCACAAAATTTCCGGATATCGAATTTCCACTAGTGAAATTCAGAAAGCTAACGGAGAAAAATCAGCGAGTTGAGGAAGTCTAACATCCGAGTTTGAAGTCGATATTTGAAATTAGAAATTCAAGTGGGGGGCTAATTTTGGCTTTCTAGCGTCGACACTCCATATTCAAAAACACGTACTCGGTAGGGAGAGAGCCACAGATCACGTATATCTAGAAAGTATAAATGTCTCATGAAAACAAGACTCCCGTGGTTGCAAACTGATTCAATTCCACAAGGACAGTGTTCCGGACAATGCTAAATGCTTTGCTTTTGGCCAGTTTATGGATAAAGATCGGTGGTTTCACGCAGCAGGAACAAAGACGGATGGATGTTTGGGTGGGGTGGAAACTGGAAGGTACACGACTGAGGCTGTTGACCTAGTTACTGTCTTCCATGTTCTGGTGTTTTCTGTCCTAAGCTGACTGATTGACACTACTTGGTGTGTGTGAGTCAGCTACAGGGAGAATGACCGCCTCATGTCTAAACTCATGCGGTTTCCATTGTTATTTTTAATCTGTCGATATCACGTTTCACCATACGGGTGCCAAGCTGAAGAGTATTACAGTATGGAAAAGCAATATAGGAAAAATAAGAATTTGTTTAAGAAGGGAGGAGACGTTTTTGACACCACCAGAGAATCCATTATACTCTTCCCCGTGACTTCAACAAATGTGGTTGGAATAGAACGATTATTTTGCAGGTAGGTGCGGGCACGTCGAACAAACCTGTCGTATCACTCGAACGAGTACAAGCTTGCTTGTTCAAACCTGATGATCTGGGTGCTTTCAAAGTGCACTGATGGAGTAATGGTAACATGCGCTGCTTCGCATGTCAGGTGTTCAAATCTCGACGTAGTAAAAAATATGCACCCCCTGATTAGCTCTAATACGAGCAAAACTCAAGTCCAGTGCAGATTTGTGTGGACTCACTTGAATAATTGTGCCAAAACAAGGGCGGGACTGTCCAAATGCGGGTGTTGTGAATCAGAACGATTGCCGTTTAACACTTGATACGTATCATCATAATCTATACCCATACTTTACTGGCTCGCAGACACCATAAAGTGAAAATACTGAGGACATTTCGTACCGAAACCTCTAAAGATCTCATCACTGTATTCTTAGTGAGAATGTGCACTGCACTGTTGCTTTTCCAAACTAGTTTGGTAGTAGCCACTTGCCCAACGATAGACCTTGGCATCTTTGCGCCTTCGGTGCGCGGGTGGGTCGGGATGAGATCAAGGCTACACCCAGACCATTCTACTACCTTCATGCAAAGGAATAGACACCAAATCCTGGGAGAGTGAATGGTGTGAACTATTTGCTATCCTGTCGACACATCCAGCTTTTCTTCTGCTGACTGTGAGAACCAAGAACAGTAAATTTCACAGTATAAAGGTGCGGCTTGCATTTGCTCCTTGTGTGAGCACCATTGACCACCACATGTAAGCCATGCATGCTTTGTGTCAGCAACCCACCCTCATAGCCAGTGATGGTCGACCAAAAAACACTATCAAGTAGGGAATGCGACAACCAGAAGAATTAGAAGACTTCAGCCGCTGCACCCATGTCGTGTACACCATAGCGACAACCATAAACATCAACCTGTCTAGGCTGCTTAAACCACTCGCCCAGGAGACCGTTAGGAGGCTAATGCAGGGAAATAGTTTTTTCACGAAAATATCACGCTTCTCAAACCATGGATTTATAACTATGCTGATTTTCACTGCGTATGCCTACCCATCATTTTCACAGTAAAAGTTGATTGGAGGACAGGGCACTGTGGTTGATGAGCATCTTACTTAAATTTGGAGTCCCGGGGGATCAGAAATCCTAGAATGGTTGCCAAAAGTCTGGAGCACAAAGTACACTAGATGGTGAAGAGCGCAGTAAAAAAGTCCTTAGTTGATTCATCTAGGTAGGGTCGTTTACGACGTGTTGTTACTCGGCCAGGTTCATTACCATTGCCCGGCATTTTTGACGATACGAGGATGATTGTTGTAGGCGAATGGTGATCGCCTCTGCTGCTGCGAGTGCGTTTTAGATAACGACCTTGGGACGATTTGATAGCGCTTGATACATCATGCTGAAGGACTCAGACTGATCCGTCGATCTGTGTCGATGAAGTGAGTAACAACTGCCTGTTCCTGTTGTCTGATTCCACCACACGACGCCATGTACTCATTTTGAGATAAGCGTCGAGTCATCCGACCGACGTGGCCTGCGGAACATTCGCAACCGAATAAATATATTAGCATGAAAGTGTCGTCTTACTCAAGCTGTTTGTGTTGGGGAACCGATCGCTACTCAAGTGAATCCCTAACTGTACGGAGTAGTTGGTTTTAGCTTGATTGTTTCTCAAGCATCATAGCTTATGAGTGGCAGCTTAATTCAGGTAGGGCAACTTAGCCGCTGGACAGCTCCCACCTTCGCGAAATCCTCCGAGTATCTGAGTTAGCGAATTGCGTATAGATCCTTTACCTAGTGTCTCATCTGTACAGACCTTACCAGCCATACTCTTGACAAGATTCTATTTGTACATCGTGTCCAAAAAGCTACTAGTAAGATCACGTTGAACTTCGATACTGAGGCATTCCACTTTGTTTCTTAACTTCACATGGGAAACCTGAAAGGTGTTGTGGACCTTTAGCTTCACGGTGAAGCGAACTGCCGAATGTAGCATACGGATTAACAGTGATTAGAATCGTCTTACTTTTGGTGTGATAATAATGGATAGTAAGAATGTCAGCGACGTAGTCTCGATAAAATGGTAATCGTCTGGTTACTGTTTTCAAAATACCGTGTTCAATTTACCTATGAAAAGCTGACCGAAAAGATATGGCTGTCTCATCTCCTTGTCTGTGGATGGGACCGTGGAATAAAATGGTATTTTCGAGTTTTCTCGCTCAAGTTTGAGCATTTTCGCCCGTTGAGACGTGAAAATCAGATGCGTACAGCGTGCGCTGGTGTATTAATGGTAACATGCTTGCCTCGCATGTCAGATGCCTCGAGTTCAAACCCCGGCACGACTATTGGATGTACGCTGCTGTTGAGCTCTAATAAGAGCAAAACTCGAGTCCATTGCTTTCCCCCTCCAGATGTGTACTCACCAGGATGATCGGAACAGTATGGCAGGACGATTGTTCAATCGAGAGTGATATGAGCACATATTCTACGAATTCGACAACCGACTACNAGTTCACTTTAGAGAAACGTTCACAAAACTGCCACCAAATAGTGGGCTGGTAATTTATGCTAAACAGTCAAAGACGCCATCCTGCGGCAAAAAATAGGAAATTGTATGCAAACTTCCACAAAAATCTATGAAAGCCAGAAACACTGGATCGATAGACAGGCATTAATATAAAGGCTAGGTAAATTTACAGACAACCCCACGAAAAATTACCAAGTCTCCATCCACTTATATGTAGCTTGTCACAATGTTGTCACTGGATCGAGATACGAGCTGTTGCATCGTGAAGATTAGGCTGACTGAAACATCATATAACTTTCACCGTATAATGCACGCGATTAGATTAGCTAAATTGCTCGTTTTGCACTACAATTTTAGCATAAACCCATGCACAATTAGTGGGCAGCTTCGTGAGACAAAAATGTAAAGCTTTGTATTGCATATATTTCACAATGACATTTTTGCATACCTATTATTTTTAGTAATAGAATAGGCCCTGAAGGGATATCTTATGGGTTCATACAGTTTGTCTACCGGCCCTTTGAAAATGTACAGCTGTTGCTGTATTTGTCTAGCCACTCGATTAATCGAACACTGTGTTATGATGCAGCCCTCACCTATCAGTGTTTATTCCGCTTTTTTCGGATAAATTGCTCTGTGGTATTGCAGCCGGTTGAATGCTGTTTCCCCATAAATTATTACGACCAGACAGGTGTATTGCCCCTTCATACCAACATTATCAGGGTTAAATCGCTGATGCATTTCACCACTGCAAGCAGATCAGAGTTTGTGATATATTGGCGACACCTCCCACTTGGGCGTAATGTGCGCAATCAACTGCAGTTCCCAGGTTTCGCTCAATTTAACCCTCAACCGAGGAAACACTTCACTTACTGGGCAAAACCCATAAAACCTGGTCCTTATGATCTCAGCAACACAGCGTTGTCATGACAACAACTGGGCATGCCTAGGGTCATTGAACTGAAGGACCTTTCGGAGCAAAAGTGGTAGCAACCACTTGGTGCAACGTATTCTGACTACCTCTCTGTTGAACATCACCCTGCGTTCACAACAATAAAAAAATAATCATTTGTCAACTGTAACGTCCTTTTGTTGCATAACTGCGAGGTCACCCGAAGGAAGCACGAGGGCTGAGATACTGCTAGGTCGCCCAAACCAAGACAGGAGCAGTCGAGACTTCTCAGTTAGGTTCTAACCACGAATTTATCTGCCAGCAGGTTTTCGCCTTAACCAC